TTTTTAGAGGTTTTATCGAGGATTTTTAGAGATTTTATCCAGGATTTTTAGAGGTTTTATCGAGCTTTTATTGAGGTTTTTTGGAGGTTTTATGGATGTTTTATCTGCAATCCCCAGCCTGTGCTGAGGCTGAAGCTCTGCCCCGTGCCTTGACTCCATGACAAGGCCAGGGGGGGAGGAGGCAGCAATTCCAGGATTATCAGGGAATCCACAGGAATTTTATTTTTTATTTATTTTTTTTTTGAATTAAGTTGGTTTCACTTCCTCATCATCCTTGAGGAAAAAAAAAACCTCTGCTCCCAAAATTCCCTGAGTGCCAACATTGATTTGGGGTGAGAAGAGACTTATCAGAATTATTTATCCCAGATTTATCCCAGCTCCTCCAGCCTGGCACTGAGCCTGTTATATTCCTATATATTCCTAAAAATGTCATTTATTCGGTGGCACCTGAAGAAATCCTCCAGATCCAGCACAAAACTCACCTATGGGAATCCTGGGGGAAATCCTCTGAACCTAAGCCAGGGATTTCAGGAGAAGCCAAAAAATAAAATAAAAATTAAAAAAAAAAAAAGGAGAATTCAAAGCTGTCACAACTCTCAGCTGAGAGTGAGGAATCTCCTCCCACCACGGCAGAAAAGGCAAAAAAAAAAAAAAAATTAAATAAATAAAATAAAAGGACTTGAAAATCCAACCCTGGGTAAAACTCCAGTGTGAAACGTGAAATGTCCATTTTTTTTTTGGTTTTTTTTTTTGGCCCAAGGGGTCTCTCCTGAGCAATTCCTGCACTCCAGGCACATACCTGAGCTCATGGAATCCCAGCCACTCACTCCCAGGGCCTGCAGCAAACCCTCACTAATTATTTTAAGCTGACTTATCTTAATAAACAGCGTGACCTCTGGCAAGGTTTAGGTCAGGCTTTTTCAGCTGGTGATTTCTGGGAAGCTGCCCTGAGTTATCCCCAAAAAATCCCAGGGTACAAACCACTCCCAAATTGAGCTTTGCCCCATGGGGAGAAAAAAAAAAAAAAAAAAAAGCTGGAAATTTGGGATTTATCCTCACATTCCTGATCAAAATGTTGGTGTTGCAGCAGCTTTGGTGGGGCAGGAGGAGGAAAAATTTCAAGTTGTGCTCCTGTTTTTCCTTGTTCAGCTTTCCCAACCCATTCCTGGAATGAAATCCTCATTTTTCTCTTTTTCCAGGAGCTGGGATGGATTTCAGGGCATTCCACGGGGTTAGAGGAGCAACCTCCACTCCACTGTGCTGCCAAAATTCCCTGTCATTCCAAAATCCAGCTCATTTTGCTCACAGCCTTGTCCTACAATTATTTCCTGGCTTTGTTTTCCTGCTGGCTCCCAGATTTCTGGCCAATCTCAGCCTCACAATTCCATGTTTTTTCCCCAAGCCTTGAGGGAAGGAATGAAGAGATTTTTTTCCCCCTCCATTTCCAAGAGCATTCTGCATCCCAGGAATGCTGCCAGGATTGGTAAAAGAAGCTACAAAAATAAAAGAATAATCCAGGAATAATTCCAGAAACAAACTGCAGAGTCTGTTTTATCCTGAATTTTCCAGAGGGCAAAGGGAAGAGCTCATCCCTCCAAATTGAAATTCAAGATTCCAAGGAATTAAGTGGCCAGCCCACTTAATTCCCACACAATCCTCTCCCTTTCCTGCCATGCCAGACCCCTCTGAACAAAACTTTGGGACAACAGGGGGGGACTTTCCCTTTTCCTGTCACATTTTCCCACTGTTTTCCAGAGCTGCCCCCCAGCACAGCCCTGCTATCCCATAATAACCCAGCCCTGAACGTGGTGTCCATGGATTCCTCCCATCCCTGCCCTTCCCAGCACCAAAATTGGTTTTATTTGAGTTTTTGCTGCTGAAGTTTTGGGCACTTTGGGGCTCCTGCATTAACGTGACTGAGCTGTGACTTCCCAAAGAGCAGCAATGGCCCAAAGCACCTCGTGCTGATGTGGAATGTTGTTTTATTCCACTTTTTTTCTTTTTTTTTTTTCCCCCCTTCTTCCACACAAGCCAAGCCCAGGCCTGGCTGGTTTCATGGCCACTGGCCTGGCCAGAATGACCAGTGAGATCTGCAGGGCTCTCCCAACAGGAATGGGAAGCACCAGCTGGGCAAGGAACAAAACCAGCCTAAAAACTGGACTAAGCCGAGCTTATTTGGCTTTTTAAAGACAGACCTCCCCTAAGACCTGAGCCCTGCCTCTTTTTCCCCAGCCAGAGCCCTGAAAGAGGAAGTTTTCACCAGGCAATGGCCCCTGAGTGCCAAACCCACCTCATTTCCCTGCAGGAGCTCCCTCTCAGACAAAAACCAGCAGCAAGTGCTTCCCCCGGGGGTTTTACAGCCCCCCCGAGGAGCTGGGAACACCCACCTGCTCTGCAGGGACACAAATCCCCCAGAAATTCCCACTCACAACAAAGGCAGGAATTCCACCATCCCCTGGCTGCAAGGAGCAGCAATTCTTCAGTGAAATGTGGAATTAACCTCCCACGAGGCAGCAGTGAGCTGGCTCCTTCCTTTTCCTTTCTTCTCCTTTCCCTTTTCCTTTCCCCTTTTCTTTTCCTTTTCCCTTTTCCTTTCCCCTTCCCCTTTTCTTTTTCCTTTCCCCTTTCCTTTTCCCTTCCCCTTTTCTTTTTCCTTTCCCCTTTCCTTTTCCCTTCCCCTTTTCCTTTTCCCCTTTCCTTTTCCCTATTCCCCTTCCCCTTTTCCCCTTTCCTTTTTCCTTTCCCCTTTCCTTTTCCCTTCCCCAATTCCCCTTTCCTTTTCCTTTTCCCCTTTCCTTTTCCCTTCCCCTTTTCTTTTTCCTTTTCCTTTCCTTTTCCCCTTTCCCCTCCTTTCCTCACACAGAATATAAAGTGACTCTGACTCCCAGCATCAGTGCACATCTCCCAGATTCCCAATTCCAGGATCCCAGAGCTCTGACAAGCAGTAACTCCAGTGAGGTGTTAGCAGGGAGGTGCCTGCATCTAAAATAAGCACAAAACCACCAGGTTTTGGGGATTTTCTTCTCCAAAATTCCACCCCACAAAGGCTCTCACAGAGCCTCTATCCCAAGCTTCAAATCCAGGTTCTTGTGGAACCTCTATCCCATGCTGGAAATCCAAGTTTTTGTGGAACTTCTCTCTCCTTGCTGAAAATCCAGATTCTTGTAGAACCTCCCTCCTTTATCCCAAGCTGGAAATCCAGGTTCTTGTGGAATCTCTTTCTCTCTCCTCTATCCCATATTGCAAATCCAGGTTCTCATGGAACCTCTGTCCTCTACCCCATGCTAGAAATCCAAGTTTTTGTGGAACCTCTCTCTCCTCTATCCAATGCTGAAAATCCAGGTTCTTGTGGAACCTCTCTCCTCTATTCCATGCTGAAAATCCAGATTCTTGTGGAATCTCTTTCTCTGTCCTCTATCCCATATTGGAAATCCAGGTTCTTATGGAACCTCTCTCCTCTACCCCATGCTGGAAATCCAAGTTTTTGTGGAACCTCTTTCTCTGTCCTCTATCCCATATTGCAAATCCAAGCTCTCATGGAACCTCTGTCCTCTATTCCATGCTGAAAATCCAGGTTCTCATGGAACCTCTGTCCTCTATTCCATGCTAGAAATCCAAGTTTCTGTGGAACCTCTCTCTCCTCTATCCAATGCTGAAAATCCAGATTCTTGTGGAACCTCTCTCCTCTACCCCAAGCTGCAAATCCAAGCTCTCACAGACCTTTTTCACACAGGACATCACACCAGGGCAGCCCTGCTGCCTCCTGGAGCACTCTGAGGGTGGAGAAATGGGTATGGAATATTTTTTTGGGAGCAGGGGACGCTGGCACTGACCTGTTTGAGCTGCTCCTCCAGGCGCCAGCCGGCTCGTCCTGCCGTGGCTCCGGGGTGCTTGGCAGAGTCCTTGCCCTGCTCCTCCTTGCCCTGCTGCTGCCCCAGGGCTGTCCCGGGGCTGGGGGCACAGGATGCCACTCTTTGGTTGGGATGGGTGCTTTTGGGAGCACGGAAATATTTGAGGGCGGAGCAGCTCTCCCGGCCGGGCACTTCCAACTCGGCGCCGTCTTCTTCATCCTCCTCTTCATCCTCGTCCTCTTCGTCCTCCTCCTCCTCGTCCTCGGAGTTCCTGGCGCTCTGCTCCAAGCGGTTGGCAGCAGAGGGGGCTCTGGTGGCCGTGGGGACAGCGGGTGACATGCCGGCGGGGCCGGCCCGGGGCTGGGCAGGGAAAGGCGGTGTCGGGAAGGGCACCTGCGGCTCCCGGCGGCGCTCCCGGCAATCCATGGACACCGCTGCCTGCTGCTGCTGCTGCTGCTGCTGCTGCTGCTGCTGCTGCTGCTTCTGCAGCTGCTCCACCACCGCCTGCAGCTTCATCCCGCCGTGTGCATGGCTGGCAGCGCCGGGAGCCGCGCAGGATCTGCCGGGGACACAAACGGGGCTGACACAGAGCACGCAGCGCTTTCATCTTTTTTTTTTTTTTTTTTTTTTTAACCCCCTCCCCAGGAAGGGGATGGACAGAGCGCAAAGGCAGCGCTCTTTCCTGTGCAGGAGACCGTGAAACAATCAGCTCCGCGTTTAACAGCCTCGGGCTCCGGCTACCATTCAGTTTGCAGACTGGTTAATTGTATTTTCGACACCATCCCCGATGCCTTTGTGCAGGCAACAAGCCTTCCACGCTTCCCAAATTACTGCTGCTGGAAGGGCAGGTTTGGGATTTGGTGCTCCTGGAATACTGCCTTAAAAGGAGACGGCCAGGATGAACATGACCATATTTATATTAAAAAAAAAAATAATATATATATACAACCGTGCCAGGCAGGGATTCGTCATGCGGGGCTAGCCCTAAATTCTTCTAAATTCCGTGGGTAAATCCCTGCCAGATCTTTGAAAAAATAAATAAATAAACAGCCCTAAATTCTTCTGTGCTCTCATTCCGTGGCGAAATCCCTGCCACATCTTCAAAAAAAAAGATAAATAAATAAATAAATTTAAAAAAAAAATCAATAAATTTCGGCGTTGTTTTTGGGATGGCAGCACAGCAAAGCACGGAGCAACTCCAGCCTCGGGATTTTGGAATTCCCAGCGTATCCAAAGCCCGTCTGTGCCCTCCTTTGGATTTTCCCCAGCCCGAGGAGCTCGGGAGCTTTCCCAGCTCTCCATTCCTGACCTGCTGAGCCAGCACTTGAGCAAAGCCCAACAGAACAGCCCCAGGCTGGAAGCAGAGCTCGGGATAAATCCTGGAAAAGCCACGGCGCCGTCCAGTTTGGACTTTGTGTCCCCCACCGGCCCCTGCTGGCACAGATTGTCCTCCTCGGGCTGGGGGGAAAGGTGATCAAACCCATCCAAAAGTGATCAAACCCACCCAAAAGGTGATCAAACCCACCCAAAAGGTGATCAAACCCATCCCATCCCGAGGCTGGGGGTGGATGAAAGCACAGAAAGCAAAGGGAAAACCAACTCCAAACAAAACGCCGAGCTCTTGCCACGCATCTGCTTGGGGAAAAAAAGGGATTATTTTGGTAAAAGCTGGCTGGAAAAACGCTCTAAAATAACTGAGCACCTACCAGGCAGCAGGATTCCGAGTGAAAGACAACTTCCAGGATCGCTGGAGCATCCCTCCCTCTATTCCCTGAATAATTCCCTGGGCAAAGTCTCCCCAAAAAAAGCAGAGGCCGGGTGAGGAAGGAGCCGGGAGCAGCAGAGCAAACACGGCTCAGGTGGGGCAGCAACACCCAGGAATGCGGCCCAGGGCTGGGCCGGGCCAGGAACCCCCGGGAAAAACGGGGTTTGGGCACGGCAAATATTCCCGAAATAAACACCGCTCCTGGCGGGCACGGGCACGGAGTTTGGGGTGAAAAGGAGAGGATTCGCTCAGGGTTAAATCGTAATTTCAGCGTCAGCTCCGAGGTGACAACTGGAATGGGGATAAAGCCACCAAAGCAGCGCGGCTTTCCAGAGCCGATCCACGCCCTCAGCGTGGATGTTTGCTCGCTTTTGGTGGCCCTGCCCCTGCTTTTGGTGGCCCTGCCCTGTTTTTTGTGGTCCTCCCTCACTTCTCAGCGTCTCCCCCCGGCACTTTTGGCGGCTCTCCCCCGTTTTTTGCGCCCCTTCCCTCACAAACGACCGAGTTTGCCCACGCTCGGCGGGGCTTTAAACCCCTGCGTGAGCTCCTTTAATTCCACTTTTTAACCGGTTTCATTGGGAAGCCGCGCTCGGGAAGAGCTTTTCCAAGCGGGAACCACCTGGAAGAGTTAAAGGCGGACCCAGCGGCATCATTAATTCGTTAATTTATTAATTCATCCCCGTTCTACCGCGGACCCCGCCTCAAGGGGAATGCCCGAAGGCTCCGACCCTCCCCTCAGGCGGAAATACCGAGAGGCCCCCCCCTCAGCACCGCTCCGCCCCCCCCCGCGGTTTCCCCCGTTACCTCCCGTGGCGGGTCCCGCCGGTCCGTGCGCGGCCGCCTCAGCTCCTCCTTCCTTCTTCCCCTCCTTCCTTCCTTTCCTTTCCTCTCCTCTTCTCTCCTTTCCCTTCCTCCTTCCCTTCCCTTCCCTTCCCTTCCCTTCCTTCCCCCCTCCCGCCCCTTCCTCGCCCGGCCGGAAGAGCCGGAAGCGCCCGCGCCGCTTCCGGGAACGGCCGCGGGGAGGGAAAGCGGCAGCCAATCAGAGAGCGCGCAGCCGGCCGGCTTCTGCTTCCGGCCGGTATAAAAAGCGCGCGCGGGGCGCGGGCCCGGCAGTCGCGGAGGAGGCGCCGCCAGGGTCTGAGGGGGCGCGTGACGGTGAGCGGGGCCTGGGGCACCCCTGGCGCCCAGCGGGATATCCGGGACGGCGTTTAGGGGTTCCCCCCGTGGCTTGGGGGGGGGGTCTCTCCGATAGGGGGTTAGGGTCTCATTGTGTCTGTTCGAGCTCTGAGGGTGGCCTTTGGGGACTTCCCTATGTCACTTTGGCTCTTCAGGGGGCTTTACGGGCTTCTCCATGTGTGTTTGGGTTTTTGGAGAAGAATTTAGGGATCTATGCCTCAGGGAAGTTGTTAGGTTCCCTTCATGGATGCTTAGGCCCTCAGAGGGAGCTTAGGGTCCCCGTCACGCACGTTTGGGCCCTTGGGCAGGGTTAGGGGTCCCCGTCACGCACGTTTGGGCCCTTGGGCAGGGTTAGGGATTCCCTTTGTGTCTGTTCAGGCTCTGAGTGTGGGATTTGGGATTCCCCATGTCTATCTGGGCCCTCAGGGAAGGTTGGGATCCCCTGCTGAGGCCATTGGGGTGAAATTAGGGCTTCCTCCGTGTGTGTTGGGGCCCCTGGGTGGGCGGATTTGGGGTCCCCTTGTGTGGGTCCTGTCAGGGAAGGGGGATGCTGCTTTGTGCTTTATTCCTTTATTCCCTCAGGCTGTAGTAAAGGGGTGTGGGAGGGGGCTGTGTGGTGGGGGTCTCCCCCTCACATCCCTGGGAAAGGAGTGGGAATTGCAGAAGGGTTTGGGTTGGAAGAGCCTTAATGATGTTTTCATTCCAACC